CAGCTGGCGAGGAGTTGCTCGCAGCAGCACGGCGGCCTGGGTCTGGCGGGCAGCAAGTTGTCTCCCGCCGAAGCGGAGGGCCGTGAGAGCAGCTACCATCCCTTTTGCGGTGGATGTAGGTTAGTGTTAAGAGTGCTAAGTTTGTGGTATTAAAGCGAGATGCGGGATACTGCCAATTGAACAGTAACAGGAGCTTCTTCAGGGCAGCAACAGCATCGTCGACGGGGTTAGAAAGCGGGAGAAGACGAGGGAGGAGGAAGAAAACGGGCGATCGTGATGGGCGTTTCGGAGTTTTTGCTCTTCTTTTCGTTGTTGCTTTTCGGGAAAAAAGAACGAAGAAAACAGTCGGAGGGGAAGAAGAAGCCTCGGCCGACACTCGGGGAAGTCACATGATGATTATTATCACGCCGAGCCAATCATATTTCAAAAACGGAGGAAGATCTGAAAATGCCATTGGTTTGGTTTTTAAAAGGGGAAGATCGGGTTAAGATCGGGTTATCTGAGTGCTCCGATTGGTGGGTCCTGATCTGATAAGATAACCTTGGCAACATCTGGTTCGCTTACATAACACCCGAGGGGTTCAACTTGCTTTTTTTTTTCGATGCTTCTTTGCATTCTTATATTTTTGAATCTGTAATTATGGAATGGAATATCATTTATAGCTATTCTAAGACTGATCTATATTCTCTACAGTAACATGATGATATTTTTTGAGTTTTATATTTCGCAGTAGTGACGCATCATATGGTAACAAACTATATTGGTTTACCTAGGTAATAGTAAGAGCACCAACGGATATATCATATAAAATGCTGGGCACTCCAAACCGGCTTGGGTATCTCTACGAATACAACTTTTATTTCCGAATTTGGTGATTCCAGCCATCCTTTGGCGTCAATATTTAATTTTGCAGACTCAGATACTCCAGCCTCGATGGCTAAAATTGGCCAGTCGTTATTGCCGAGAGTAACGCAGCCATCTAGGAGTCAAGTGACCTTTGGGTCCTCGTTCCTCCCCCCTGGCGGTTCGGTGGAGATGGTCGCAACTCCTTAATGAACGTCCGGCTTGTTGCTCGAGCTGCTCCAGAAAGTATAATCTCATACTAAAGACCCATATTCCTAAATTCGCTATAGATATGGCTGGGCTGCCTCTTTTTCATGGGGATGTCCGGCCATAGTGTCAACCACAAGTATACCCTCTCAATATATTCTATTAATTTTGGGCCTTTATCAGGGTAGATAGTGTCAAACCCTTGAAGGATTTTGTGCGGCATCTTGATCACTATGATAAAAGGATTTTGCGAATCATTTGCACAACATAGTTGAGCCATTCTATCCACTAAGCGCTTGATTTGATATATTTGACCCGAGGTGTTCCTTCAGGGAGTCCGATCAACAGTCAGCGAGCTACGAGTTATTCGGTAGGCACCGGTAAATATGCCGGGATGGCAATGTAGGAGATCGTGATAACGAATCTTTCAGTCTGCCACCGCTCCTCCCACTGGATAATGGCGGGCCATAAAGCAGCTCGGTAAGACGCTGCTGTTATGGAAGCAGATTTCACGGGTGTGGGAGACGACTTTGACGGGTATATACACAGCAAGTAGTGTGATAGCGAGATGTCTACACCGTGAAGAATGTGCTCAAGGTAAAGCCAGTTTTGTTTGTCCAAAGGCAGGCGGTCAAGGTAATGGAGAAGGTTATGAAAAAATGGGGGAGTCAAGAATGTCGAGTACATTATATACTCGTGGTGGGCCTATCATGGTGGCCAGTGAAGGGAGCCTGTGAAGAGTACAGAATGAAGATACAGAGTGATGATACAGAGTGATTGATGATATAGAGTGAAGACGCAAGAGTGACGTTGCTTGCTTCCGAAGAGTCTGGGCTCGGCGAAGAAATTAAGGTGGGTCATGTGATAAACCCTAAGTGGATCTCTTCATAAAGGGGAATTTCCAAACATACAACCTCCAACAGGTATCAATGTCAAGAGCTGGAAATGAGATACGATCTGCCGCTGTTGGCAATGGTAGTTTGGACGGACAGCTAACTACTTAACTGGCTTGTTGCTAGCTCTGCTTGGCCGGGTGACAAAGACTCGCCGGTTTGTTAACATGGCTGCATTGAGAGTCAGCGGAAGCACCAGATATGCGGTCAGGCCAGTCAATTCGGAAATGAACCGTATGCTAGCAGGGAAACTCGAGAGTTGACTGGCTTGGATCTTGCCGGTTAAGGCCATGAACTCGAGCTATCTCCTTTCGCCTTAAGCATTGACCGTGATCTCTCCAGCTAGCCAGACGAGGCAGGCTATTGCAGCTATCGACAACCAATTGCGGTCTTGATATGCCTCAAGTCCGCCGTACTAACTAGCCAGGCTGTGGGCCAGGAACAGATAGGCGGTGATCCTTGGCTTTTGTGGCTTGCTGAAACTCGAATATCGGCACCACTGTTATCATGTCGGAAACTTGGATTTTGCCATGCAGCGGTGTGTTCTTCTTGATACTTATACTTGCATCCACTTACACACTCTGCTTCTGGGACCACCCTTTCGGCTTCCACCACCTATTACATCGTTGATTTCACCTATGTCAAGCATATCAGACACTGGACCGATTTACCGTGGAGATAGGGACTCGGTATAAGATTTGTTCGCCCCCTCGGCATCCAACGGCCCGAAACGGTTACCAAGTGATTTGCTAGCGGTTGACACCAGCTCCATCTTATCAAGCAGACCCCCATGGATACAAGGACCAATAGGGAATGGACATTCTCCACATTCTAGAATGAACTGGAGATACAAAAGCTCTTCAATAAGGATCATATGATAAGACAGCTTGGCTATGTACTGGAATATGACTTGTAGCACCAATGATGGTTCTACAAGCTCCTGTTGTTGGCAAGCTTGGCATACCAGGTCTCTCACCTTCAAGCAGACAAAGGGCTCATGAAAGGCATACTCCTTGTAGTATCTGTACAGTTCATATGAAGGGACTGTTTTATACCGGTAATCATACACCCATCATCAAATTATTGGTTGTAGATCCAACTACGATTATCAGACTTAGAGATGGGGAATTTATGATGGACGGCTTTGACCCGTCAAAGCCAAATGAAAATGCACAGAATATAATCGTCAGGCTTACAGATTATGGAGCGAGTCGTTTCCATTTCTCCCACCTTTGACACTTATCTTCCCAAATATTCTCCTCTCTTATTGACTCTTACCGTACGGAGTAGTTGGCAGACCAACTAATAAGTTATAGTGCGCTTACCTATTGAAGCCCAGGAGTCCACTTTGGAAAACCATGGACGCAAAACACTGATGTCTGGTCTTGGACATAGTTGACGGTGATATCACTCAAGGCCACTCATACTACCACGAATATATAGCCTCTGCAGATGGCTCAACTGCTTCAGGAGAAGGTTGACTTCAAGTTCTTTACGATTCAACAAGCCAACTCGGAACTCTCGAAGAAAATTCTCGGACTCTTCGCAATACATTGGCAATCGATTATGATCTTGTGCCCGTGCCGTGCTACGCTAAGGACGAGCATTATTCTAAATTGTTGCCTCCGCCTCAGCCGGGTGAAGCGTACATGTGGGGAAATTCCGTAGTTGAGAACGGAGTAGCAGATGAGGACGTCTAATTTCTCGCTAGGGTCCTATATTAAGATCCTGATGCGCGCTTGACTGTCTGTGGGATTCTAGAGTGGCTATCTGGAGGTGTAATTCCCTCCGATACCAGTTCCAATGCAAGTGAACATCTACCCCATCATTTTGCAAATACAAAGGAAAACCAATAGTCGAGTAATTTTAATAGAAGATTACCCGTGTAACTTATTAATTCACTATCAATCTTCAAATATAGCGGTTTTCTCCTCAATAACTGTCCCTAACCGCCCGCACCTTGATACTAACCAAAGGCCTCCAGACAAAGACGCGTCTACCACTCCAACGGCCTACCTCTCCCAGTCTCCTCTGCGAGTTCCGATGGCAATGGATCCAACTCAGCCCTGGCAGTCTCCTCCGTCAAGTGTTTGTCATGCTCAAAATCGAGCAGCCGTATATTTCCCGTCTCATCATCGATCAGAAAGTTATACCGATTGATATCTCCCTGGATAATCCCTATATCATGAACTGCGCGAACAACCTCTTCGCACCTTGCTAAATCGTCTGGTCCCGGAAATCGACCAATTACTTTCTCCAGCAGCAAGCTCATCACTCTGCCGTCTTCGGTCAAATGAGCGAGAACTTGGGGTGCAATGGGCGGGTCCTCTGGGTGGGCGCACTGATCTTGGTAGATGAGTAGACAGCAGTCTCGTTCTCCATGCGCGGGAGCTCCCACTCCCACCGTACGATTTTCGCAATCGCTGGTGCTCCGTTAAAGATCACTTCGTGAACGTTGTGTCGGTAGTATCGAGTGCGTTTGAGGGAGAGGACCTCAACTTTCTCTGGATGCCATACAAAACCGACCCCCTGTAGCTTAACATCTGAGGTTGTAACTTTTAATAAACCGTCATTTGAGCGACAGATGTCCATCTTCGTCCACGGGGCGTTGGGGAAGCTGGGGAGTTCTGGAATCAATAGATACGGTCGACACATCGTATCTTCATCAAATGCATCTACCTCAATCGTAAGGTAGCGGATTTTATTGCCGGTTCGAATGCGATACATCCCGAGCTCTTTATCGATCTCCTGGGACAAGACCTCTATGTCTGACTTGGGTATATAGTCCACATTATTCTGACTCCAATGATGACTCCATGGTTGTGTGTCAATAGAAGAGAGGATGATGAGATGAATCCGTTTGAACAGGCAAGGGCTATCTCTTTGGATGTTAGGGGTTAACTGTGGAATACTGCGATAGAGAATGTTATCTTGGATAGCCTCATTAAAAGTGAGTTACCCGTCTGCCTGGGCTGCTAATCAATTAGTTAACTAACTAGTTAGTTAGTTAGCCGCTGGCCCCCAAAGCTGCACAGGCGGGCCATCTGAAACCCTTATTTCAACATCTAATGACTAGCGCCAGTAGAATGACAGGAAACAGGATATAGATGAAACAAGACGCTAATACAAACCCATTGTTGGGCACTATCAATAGATAAGTGTCATGCACTCATTCCTCTATAATAATATACCTAGCTGAAGCCGAACCCGAAGAAACACGGAAAGAGATGTTCATAGCCAATGGACTGCTTTGAAACCCACATAGACAAGACACGGCGCTTATACCTAGATGCATAATCTAGTCAACTATCCCACATCCTACCCTATGTTGGTGGGGGCCAGGGGGAAGGGTGCTTAATATAGACAAGTCACGACAGAGCTCATGGTGATCTACGCCGGCGCAGGTATATTGGGGGCAATCAGCGCTATGCCAGCGCTAAGCAGCAACAAGGCACAGAGAGCTCTCTAGATCAATGGAAAGCATATATAGAAGACGCATATTACCGTCTGGAGAGTCCAAATCATCAAGCATTAAACCATTAAACATCAAACCATCAAGCATTCAACCACGAGGTTTCTAATCCCGTTGACTAGTGGTAAGTTATCTGGCTGTCCTATATTGATGTACCTTTGGCTGATAAGAATAGATATACAAAAGATCAATTTATTATCCATATCCTAGGAGCACTGGGAGTAGTGCACTGTAGCATTCCCTTCATACTTATGACGTCCAGTTTACCAATCCTCACCTGATATCTAGATAATTGTTGCTGTCCCGAGAGTCCACATAAAATGTGCAGCCAACAGTGGATCCAATGCCAATGCGGCTGCCAGCAAAAGGGGGAGTTCGTGCAGTGTGATCGACTGTACGCTCTGCAGACCAACCTCCGATGCGCTTCGGCAAGCCGCGAAAACAAGATTTCCCGTAACTACTATCAAGTGAGGACAGAGCTTGGACCCAATACACTGGCCGCAACCCTCCCGACCCGCCCTCTTCTCGCCCTACCCGCTCCACCCGCTCCACCCGCTCCAGCGGCACACGTTAATTCATAACAAGCTAGGGATTGACGAGGACTCTAAGGGGTGGGATCGAGGAGAGGTGCTGTGCTGGTACAGCAAGGTTAACTGATAAAGAATATATCAATTGGCTGCACTAACTAGTTAGTTAGCTAAACTCACATTAACCATTTGGTAACGAGGTAGGAATTGCCAACTCCGCGCTTAACTGCTCATCATTTCTTTCCCCAGGTTAACAAGCTCTGCTAGCGCCATGGCCGAACTTTCAGATGATGAGAAACTAGTTCAGAGGCTTTCCCATCGTCCATCTCACTTGGTAGGCGGAATGATACCAATTACAGAACCGGTGAAGCCATCTCAAGCCAACCGCCGCTCTGAGATCTCGTCTACCGGGATGCTAGACCGTCTACCGCTCGAAGTACTCCATCAGATGTTGAACACGTTGGATTTCCAGTCCCTGTGTCGTTTGTCACGCGTGTCACGGCGAGGCAGAAGCATCGTCGAGTCGTTGCCTACATACAGAGCGTTGATGGAATATATTTCAGATGCGTTGAAAGCACTTGGTGAAACCCGGCTTATTCAACTCCACTCTGCAGATAAACTCCGCGCCGTGCTACAGTCTGAAGCCTGTGTTTCATGCAGAGAATATGGCCCCTTTCTATTTCTCCCCACATGCGAGCGATGTTGCTATACTTGTCTTCGTTATAACCAGTCACTGTGGGTGATGCCTCTTTCTCTAGCTAAGCAGTCCTTCGGCCTGACTCTGCGCGACCTCAAGAAGCTCCCCTTAGTAAAGACGGTGCCTGGAATGTATGACCTGGCCAGAGGGTGGTCACATCGAGGAAGCCAGACTCTAGTCAGTGTGAGGCATGCAAAGGAATACGCAATGAAGATTAATAACGGCTCACTGCCAGACGTAGATACGACCATCACTCCTGAAATGTCTGACAGAATGATAAGGAAAATGATTGCTTTGAGATGGTTCAGGGAAGCTCCCTTGGAACCGCTGCCTGACAACCCATCAAGGATACCAACACGTGGAGGCATGCCGGATAACGATTGCAATGGCATGGCATCCCTCCCGTTTCCATCTCTACGACGCAATAAGACGCTTGAACATGGCTTCTGGTGCCGGGGATGTGACTGGATGGCCGAAAAATATCACCGCAGTCGTCTCCCTGACCATATTATTGACAAATTCGTTCCTTCGGATAGTTGCACCCCTTCAACGTCTTCACAGGCATGAGCCGGCATGCTGGATCACAGAGCGAGTTTTTACTCCATATTAAGCAGTGTTACGGTGCGGATAAAGTAGACGCTCAAGATTGAGAGTAGTTACAAGTTCCATTGGCCTTTCTTGCGAATGAGAGCAACATGTATACCCTCTGTTCAATATCTTGTCTTGATATACATGGCGAGCGCACTACAATATGATGTATCTACTATTATTATACCATATTCTAGACCAACATAGAGCTGATTTGGATTTACAGCAGATTGGCCCTTCTTTATATCCTCTTTCTCGGGGCGGCGGCGGGGGCACTAGGCTCCTCTGCATGTAAGTGTTGAATAGTGCTCCCTATCGGTAATTAATGAAAAATTATATTAAGATATTGAATTATATTAAGATATTTTACAAAAATTCCGCCTTTGGGCCTTTGGCAGCCGTGGTATCAGCGTATCAAACTGCTGAGCCATAAGGCGAGCCCGGCAGAGCTCCCTGCAAATTTGGACCTATTAATACTGTTGTACTCCTCGGAATCTGCAAGTACTTCCCAGAAATAGATGATTTCTTCCCATGCTTCATTGATTTGATGTACAGGTGAGAATTCATAAGCCATGCCTGAGAGTGAAGGCGTAAGTCTGTGAAGTGACTGTCGACGGCGAAGAGAAAAGAAGCGTTGCTGACGTGATGAAGCCATAGAACAGCCCTAAAAGGCTTTATTTCGACGACATTCACCAACTAACCATCAGTTATCCCCAATGAATGGAGTCCTCGCGATCTCATCCCAGCCACCAAGAGTGTGCCCAAATAACAAGCTGCTGGTTATGAATACTCCTCCTTTATTTGAATGACGGGTTCCGAGGACCGATGGCTGGTGGCTATCGAACTAGCTAGCTAGTCAACATCTCAGTCGATCCCCCTAACTAACGACTCCATAACTAGACTGCGGGAAAAAGAGCCGCAGAAAGCCATATCTGCAGCAAAGCAAGATATTCGAACAAGAAGCCCGTTCTAATGCGGTCCAGGGCTTCAAAAATGACGAGGCCTTAAGCTCCATTCAGACATTGCACCGTTATAACGCGAAACTCGATCTCGTCTGCACGCAATATCGTATTTCTCGGGGGAAAGATGAGCGACATGCCAATCAGCGCCACCGGAATCCGAGGAGCTTCACATCTTCGTATAACTACGGAGTCGTGACAGTGACTAGAGGCTGAAACTGGCCTAAAATTCAGTCTTGACCCTTCTTACCCCTGGACGACTATCATCATCTGTCTCGCCCTGTGGTCGACGTTGACTCTTGGATACGAAGCAGCCCTCGTATACCCTGTTGAAGTCACACTTGACTGGTTGAGCCGCAGTCAGACGTGGGCATCCATCCACTTTCGAGGCGTTTGGCGCAGTGCTTATTCTCACTTTGATATCCCACACTTGCATCTCTCGTGGCAATCAGGGGGAGACAGAATATTCCATCTCTGGCTGGTGCTACGTGCCTTTTGATTCAGGGGAGTAATCGACGATTATCGCGCAGGGCCCAGTGGTTGGGGTGGCTATCTGCTAGTTAAGCCATCGTTACCCAAATTCTGACCCGTCCATGCATAAAGAACAAAAGTGATAGACCCTTGTCGGTTTACTTGTGAATCTTGATTTTCGAGATGTAATTGGCTCATCACACGCAACCCGGCAGGAGTAAGATGTTACCCTTTATCTGAGCCCGTATAAACGGCGCAATGGGTGTGGTGCGAGAAATTATGCCGCTATATATAGATATATATAGGGGAAAGGGAGGGGATAGTCCCCCTTTTCAGTTCTTCTGAGCGTGTTCCCCTCTTGTATCGCAATTTTCTGCGTCTCTTCGACTCTATACCAGCAGTCTATGGTCATTATTACGGCTCCAAGGAGATACCGTGCAAAATGGTACACCTAGGGGAGCTCACAGTCGGTTCGGTTTCCGGCATGATCGCCGCGGCCATCTTCTTTGGTAGGCTTCGCCCTTTGGCAACTCAATTTTCAGGAGATTCGTCAGGTCAATACTAATAATAATGGATTAACCAGTCCAGATTACTGTACCACTGGCCCTTCCACTTATTCTCCTCGGTTTACTTACGGAGAGGAACTCCTCCATCACCCTTTCTGCCGCGTCTTGGTAAGTCCTCAGGTCGGATGTCATGGTGCATCTTGCGCTTACATGTTAGCAACTAGGTCCGTGGCTGGCAGGTTCTTCCACTCTTCCCTCTGGCCTCGAATTCTCCGTTCAGACTCTGCATCAACAACTGGCCTGCCTCGAAGTATCGTAAGTATTACATTGCTCAGCACCATTACGACAATCCTTTTCGGTCTCACTGCTACTGTGACTCCACTGGGCTTGTATGAAGGAGTGTCTCCGAGGAAGGATACCAAACTTGTGGATTTCCACTACGTCAAAGACACCTCGCCTATCGGCTATGGCACACCAGCACGAGGCAATGTGCGGTTCAGCCGCATCTGCGGGGGGTTTACTCCCCAGGTATGCCCTCACTCGAACGGCAATTTGACCTCGACCGAAGACTCCACGGGAGAACATGTCAGTGGCGATTGGTATGACACCAGGATCCCTCAGCGTGTGATAGATATGTTCCAAAGCGGCCTGTCCTCCCAACAGAGCTCTGTATCAAGTATATTCGATATCCAGTGGCGATCATATACCTACTCGAAGATTGAGGATAGAGCCGATCGCTTGGTGATAGACAATGGCACGAGATACCCCGTGGGAGCCTTTCGACAGATCTCTACTTTTGTTCTCAACGACCGGATAGAAGCCGTTGAAGGATTGGTTGTTGATACCAAGGACGGAGGGATTGGCTTCCGGAATCACACTGCACCTCCAGTCGAGCCATTCGGGAGTTCCTGGTCTGAAGACCTTCTCTTCATCGTCCCGGAAACCCAGTGCGTCGACACCAACCTAACCCTGGACTTCTCCATCCCGCTGAAAAATTCTGAATCCATCGGTGACCAGATCACCAACCTTGTGTTGACCGATCGAGGCGGCTTTGCAAATCTTGTTCAGAAGTATCCTTATTGGGACCGCAACGATACTCAGAGGAATCCAGATCTCCGGAATCGTGCGTACAAGGCTGCCTGGATAAACAACGTTTGGTCCATGGCGTTTATGAACGTAACCAACTTTCGGAATGAAAGTGACCCGCACTCAAAAGCCTTCATGTACCTCGACTCATTCGTCGGCAAGAAGTTTCCACTCCAGTCTAACCACTCAAGTTCGACCTCCCTGTTCATTGAACCGGATAGTATCATCACAAACTCATTGTTTGGATATTATCTCACCGGGACGGACGTGGCTGTCAACGGAACCAATCTCACTTCCAGCCACATCACCACTCCAGATAAACCTCCTCTCTTTTCCAATCCTTGGAAAATTGACTCATTGAACTTCTCCTCTGCTAGTAAGTGCAAATCCGATATCTACCATCTTCTCTAGGCATCTATTTGGGTAGACACCACATCTTACAATGAGTAACATGATTAACAAATAAATAAAATGAAACAGGCCTTCTTTGCACTGGTTTGGGTGGACTCGATCTGGCAAACATAACCAATATTGCTGCTAGGTGCGGGCTCCAATACGGCGCACCGCAACGAGTTGGTGCAGGCGAATCTCTGATCTTCGACCCGGGTTCCAGCTGGACTGTGCCCATGTATTCGTGCGCCTCTACGATAAAGGCCACTATTAAAACCGTTGACTTCCGCTTCAATGGCACCGAAGACAACCTCTCCTCCCTGACTGTAATGGGCGTTCGGGAGAAGGAGTATCCCAACGAAGAGTCCAAGCCACTATGGGCCGTCGAAGATACCACGATGCATCTCCGTGACGTCAGATCATTATGGGGGCTGGTAACGCCGGAAAGCGTAAAGGGAGACCAAAACATTTCCACCATCAGGAAAGAATCCCTCTATCTGCCAGGAGGTGACAGCAGCACCCATGGTTCCATCGATTACCAGAATCTTCCGGGCTTGAACTTCCACAGTGATGCTCTGGGGGTCGCTTACGGGGATGGCTCATCGAGTTTCAGCGAAAACTACAACGGCAAAAACCAGCTTGCAATGTATCGGCTGTGGCAGGAACTTTCCAGAAATGCCAGCACTGTAGGCAAGATCAAGGATCTCATCTGGACCGATGTCGCCCTCAACGCTGTCACTGGAACTAGAAGCATCAGTCCAGACGGGTACAACAAGCAGGTCCTTGCGAAACGTGATGGTGGCCAGACTGACAAGGCGAAGAGAATCCCTGTCACTATTTACGAGAGACGCGTGCATTATAAATACCGCTATGGTGTATTGGCCTTTATCTCCCTGGCGCTGATCGCTGCGGTGTTCTCCTCGTTAATTCTGCTTTGCGTCCTGCGTCGTACCGGCTTCTCTAAGGCGCGAAAGTACCTTGACGAGACCTCCGTGGGCAGGATCCTGGCTGCCAGGACTACGAGTTCTGGAGTACCTGGTGTCCACAGAGCGCCGACAAATACCTGGGTGAGGACGACGGGAAAAGCGCCAATCACGTTAGGAACCAGCCACAGCCAGCCCTCTAATAATGGACCGAATCCATCGGCCATACTTTACCCAGGGGGATCTGCGCTTGCGGCCAGTGCGGATAAGATCGAGCACTCTTCCTACCTCCTCAATAACTAGGTGACTAGCCGAAGAATATGCGCATTCGATGATGATAGGCCGGCAATCATTGTCTCCTGGCTTATCCATCTAACCATTATATCAAAATGCTTCTCCTTGATGGAAATGCTCAGAAAAAGTGTTACTTCTCGAAATAAAGTTAAGCTCGTAAGAGCCGCAAGACTTCGCTGTAACAAAGTCAATAAATACTGATAGTCAACGACTTCTCTATTCAATATTATAATTAGTTATTATTACACGTCAACTAGATGCTCCGGACTCTGAATACAACTAGATCTGGGATAAAATGAGATGAGCTCGTCTGTTGTTCCCCCTAGGCGCCTCAACACTTGTTCTATATATATAAGTATACCTGCGCCTGGGATGCTGAAACCAAGGCCCAGCGGATCCTCTAGTTAGTCACCGGCCCGCGGTAGCCAGTCAAAGCGGAGGTCGCCGGCACTCTTCCTGGTTCGCGACTTGAGGCAGAGCCATGGAGAGCGAGGATGAGCGTCTTTGCCTGGACGTTGCCGCCCATCTCGTCGCTGGACAGGCTGACCGTTGACAAAACCTCCCGGCCGGCCGCACGAATATGAGACAGCATCGTCTTCGACATCGACCGCCCTCTTCTCCGTGACTAACGAGTTATTGCGTTCGCCGTTCGCCCAGATATCGCCAACCTCGCCGCCGCCGCTATCGTCCAGCCGGAGGACCCCGAGAACCACAGCGGGAGGGGACAGTGAGCCCGGGATGCGGAGTCCGTAGTTATAAGGGCAGCATTTCTTGTCCCGGCCTGCTTCTGCGTCTCGTCGATGGCTTGTCGCCTGGAGAAATACCTTCGAAGACGCTTTAACTAGACCAACCCGACTATCATGGGCGAGATATCTTCGCTGGCCACGAAGAGATGCCACAGCTTCACACTCTACCAGGGCACATTCATCCAGCTCCCACGCGAACCGACGGCGCCGGCATCCTCGAGAACTGCTCCCGTATACGAATTACAGGTCAACGATGGCGTTGTCTGGGTCGATAACTCGGACGGACGCATCGCGGGGTTCGACTGGGCCGTCAGGGGCCAGGAGGAACTAGACAAGCTGGCAGCCAGCATGGGGTGGAAGCTGGCATACAACGATAACGAGGTCGAGAGCACCCAGGCCACGGTCGTCAGGGTTGTACGGTCCAGGGCAGAGAAGAATGGTTTCTTCTTCCCTGGCTTCATCGGTAAGGGGATGCCTGCTGCCAGTCAACTATACATGTTTGTGCAACGACCGAAAGCTAACCGGGTTGAACAGACACGCATATTCATGCGCCTCAATACCCGAACTCCGGAATCTTCGGGTCAACGACTCTGCTTGACTGGCTGAACAAGTACACATTCCCCATGGAGGCGTCGTTCGGTGATAAACACACCCCCGACACACCTACCAGGAGAGCCTACACCGTGTACAACGCCGTCGTGGCCCGCACGCTGTCCCACGGCACCACCAGCGCTGCATACTATGCAACCGTCCATGTCCCTGCTACCAACCTGCTGGCCTCGGTCTGCCATTCAAGGGGCCAGAGAGCGTTCATTGGCCGAGTCTGCATGGATAATCCCGACACATGCCCTGACTTCTACCGGGACGAATCAACAACTGCCATGGTGGACGCAACCAAGGCGTCCATAGCCTATATCCACCGTCTAGACCCGTCAGGTACGCTGATCAAGCCCATCATCACTCCCCGGTTTGCCATCTCCTGCACCAGTGAAGGACTTGCTCAACTAGGCGAGCTTGCTGCCTCAACCAGCCCGCCGACCCACATCCAAACACACATCTCCGAAAACGACGATGAGATTCAGACAGTCAAGGCGTTATTCCCAGACTGCTCGACATATGCTGAAGTATACGACCGAGCGAAACTGATTACTCCCCGTACCGTTCTGGCGCACGGAGTACATCTGCAGCCATCCGAACGAGTATTGATCCGCGAGAGGTGTGCCGGAATATCGCACTGTCCCACGTCAAACTCCTCCCTGAGCTCCGGCATGTGTCCTGTCCGCGTCCTGCTTGACGATGGTCTCAATGTTGGTCTCGGCACCGATGTCAGCGGAGGGTACAGCCCAAGTATCCTCGAGACAGCCAGACAAGCATCCCTCGTCTCCAGGCTAGTAGCATGCCATTGCTCCAAGGAGGATGGGAACCGTAACAAGCTCAGTGTCGAGGAAGCGCTGTATCTAGCCACCAGGGGCGGAGCCAAGGTGTTTAATATGCAGGACGAAATCGGCGGGTTTGAAAAGGGGATGTTCTGGGACGCACAAATGATCGAGCTTGGGGACAGCATTGAAAGTGACACTGACAGCATAGTTACCCCTGAGCAGCTGGATTTGCAACACTCTGGGAAAGTGTGCGTATTTGGATGGGAGAGCTGGGAAGAGCGAATTGCCAAATGGATGTGGACAGGCGATGATAGGAATGTCAAGGCTGTCTGGGTTGGAGGACGGCTGGTCCATGGAAGCACTTAGGTAGGGTACTATTTGGATGTATATTTTGCTATATTGCTTTATATAATGACATTGGAATATAAACTACGGGAGGCATGTTTAACTTGTAATAAGGCTTTATTGAAATATCCAGGGAAGTGACAGTAAATAGTACCAGCTTATTCTTCATTTTGAATGCAGAGTAAACACAACTCGACTCCAAGGCCAATCGATATCTTATGCTAAAAGAAAAAAAGAGAAAAAAAAAAAAAAAAAAAAAAAAAAAGGAAAAGAAAATCGTGTTATCGTAGAAGTCATTAGTTGATAGGCGGATCCCAGAGCGAGGCCTGAAGGCATCACTCCCTACTGAGGGCGGTACTGCACTTCACGGCCAACAGAGACCGGGACATGGAGACGGCTGATAGTCTCGACATCACCCAGAGCACCTTTACCGTGGTTTCGAATAAAGACAGAGCTTCCCTCGACGATGTGGGTGTGGTCCCAGGAAGTGATGCGCCCCTTGCTGAGGGCAGAGTAGACCAGGCGTCTGCGGCGCTGGGAGTTGAGGACCTGCTGCTGGATCCTGTCAAAGTCCCAGCGGACATGGACTTCTTGCAAAAAGGCCTTGAAGAGAGAAGTGATGTCATTCGTCGCTGTGGCCGAGGTGATCTCAGCGGCCGTAGGAGCCACGGCCTTCTTACCTAGCATGGGGGTGTCAGGGGGTGTCGGGACGGCGTGGGGAGACAACACGGCGGAGGCTGCTGGGTTCTTCAGTACCGGCGGCGAAGTCGTAGGAGGAGTAGGCAGGGCTGCAGGTCCAGTGACGACGCCGCCGGACGAGCTGTTATCAGAGAGAGCTGGCAGCGCCATGTTGGCGACGAGGTTTTTAGATTCAGTCGGGTCCTGCTCGACGTTGTACAGCTGCGGAGGGTCGATGGGCGAGTAGATGAACTTCCAGGCGCCCCGGCGGATCATCACCAGCGGTGCCAGGGTGCCCTCGCCCATGTACTCGCCCAGCACGGTGTCGGTCTTCTCGCCGGGGGCATCGTCTGCAAGGTACGGCATCAGCGAGACGCCGTCGACGGGCAGGCCGGGATACAGCGAGCCGCCGGTCATGGCCACAAAGGTCGGCAGCAGGTCCATCGTTGAGACGTTCTCCTTGACTCGCTTGGGCTTGAAGCGTCCGGGGGCGTAGACCAGCATGGGCACACGGGCGGACATCTCGAACCAGGACATCTTATACCACATCCCCCTCTCGCCGAGCATGTCTCCGTGGTCGCCGGAGAAGACGACGATGGTGTTCTCGTCCAAGGCACAGTTCTTCAGCGTGGTCAGGAGGGCGCCGATCTGGGTGTCGACGTAGGTGCAGGCAGCGAAATAGGCACGGCGAGCAGCGCGGATGCGTTCGTCTGGGATCTCCTTGCCCAGGAGGCCGATGATCTTCAGGATGCGGCGGGAGTGAGGGTCCTGCTTGGCCTGGTCGATGGCTGCGGTGGTGGGAAGGGGGATGTCGACGCCCTCGTACATGTCCCAGAACTCCTGCGTCATGGCGTACGGGTCGTGCGGGTGTGTCATCGAGACCGTGAGGCAGAACGGCTGGTCTTTACGGTGCCGGGCATGATCGTACAGGTACTGCTTCGCCTTGTAGATGACTTCATCATCGAAGTCGAGCTGGTTGGTGCGCACACAGGGGCCGGCCTCCATCACAGAGGACATGTCATGATACCAGTCTTTGTGGACATCCTGCAGCAGTCAGCATATATACATATATATACATATAAACAACTACAGATAAAGAGAAAGGGGTAGGCGGTTACTGGCATATCTTGCATCTTAGTTTGTGCTGATAAAGACTTACAGGTTCATCCCAATTCACAGACCAGCCATAGTCACCGGGATAGATGTCACTAGTCAAGCGCTCCTCGTAGCCATGCAGCTGGTCCGGGCCACAGAAATGCATCTTGCCAGACAGAGCAGTGTGATAGCCCTGGTCTCTAAGATAGTGAGCGTACGTGGGTGTGTCCGCTGGGAGGTCACTGGCATTGTCATAGCCTCCAATCCGGGAGGGAAGCTGGCCAGAGACCATGGTGAAGCGAGACGGGGCGCAGAGAGGCGAGTTGCAATACGCTGAGTCGAAGACAACGCCCTCTTTGGCGAGGCGGTCGAGATTTGGAGTCTTGATGACGGAGGATGAGTTATAGATAGACAGCAGGGGGGCAGCCATCTGGTCTGCCATGATGTATAGCACATTCGGCTTCTTTGACTGAGCCATGGTCGCCGGCTTGCTGATACTGTCTGATACGATGAAGCACTGGTTGTTATTGTCTGAGAGAAAGAGAGAGAGGGAGCAAGATGAGAGCTGGCTTAACGCTGCTGGAAGGGGTATCAAATAGAAGAAAAGAACGGCTACAAAGAGGAAAAGTAAATGGAGCTGGAAGTGAATGAAGAGAGAAAAGAGGAGATGTAAAGGACAACTTATATACACTCGAGACCCAAGTGGAGAAAGACGAAGAGCGAGGGAAAAAAACGCCTTATTCGCGGGTTCTGGTGGGAAGA